GCCACAGGTGAGAGTTGGGTGCCAGCAAATGGACGCTAGGTGTAGTCTCACCTGCAAGCAAGTAAGCGACCACTACGACCTTCACGTGAACCCACCGCTGGTCACCCCTACACCCCGGCAGACCCCACACTGCTGTCCACCGATCACACCTTCCCAGGTGATATGGTCTGTGCCTACATGCGTGTTGAAATCTCCAAGAAGGACGAGTTTATCTGGCCAAAGCATAGATAAGGTGGGATTTATGGTTTCAGTAAAGCCTGGACCTTCTTCCCGAAAAGGTGTAAACGCTGCTGGCTGGCAAAATTTCTCCTGGACATTGGCACTTTTAGCTTAATTAGTTGGTCTGTGATGGGTTTCAGGGAGGGAGAGTGGTGAGCTGGGCGAGGTCATTCATGACTGTGCAAAAACTCCTTCGGTATCACTCCTTCTCTTTTCCGAGGAAGGATTTGTGTCGCCTTCTGACGTGTTTCAGTCATCCATGTTCAGGGAAATGGGCTTTGTTGGAGAGGACGGTGGCGTTGTCTAGCGAGCTAGCGAACAACCACAGCTCTTCTCCTTTCGGTAACCTTTCCATGCTAGATAAACAGTACTGCTACGTGGTGGTTCCTAAGGTATGGCTTAATGAGGAGTCATACGTCCACTGAATATCGTCTCTACATACCGATTTGCAGTGATGCAAGAACCCCCATGTGCCTGAACCGCCTGTGGGAGTAGACATAATCTGCTCGATGGTTGTAAGTGAGCTGATGTAGATGAACATTACTTATATTTCGGCTTAGTTACGGATTGCGTAGACTTTCGTATCATCAGCTTCGCGCTCCCCGTATCCCTGGTGTAAGACTGCGCCACGCCGACGGGCGGTGGGATCGTATTGACCGGCGCACTGGACAAGCACTATCGTCCTTCTGGTGGCTCAACTGAAGGTGACCCTACCCGGACCCTGTGGGATGTCATATCCGTGAGGGTTGTTACCAGGCCGCAGGAGGAAGGAGTCGTTGCAGTTTGATTCTCAGCCACTGAGACCGTGTTATACCACCAGTTGACTATCGTCTGGACGCCTTGCCTTCGTGACCACGAGGTGTCCCCTACTGCAGAGACCCTAATGCGGCAGTTCTGTAATGTGGCACAACTTCCGTCCTTCAAGCAAGATGGCGCAGTTGTGTCCAACAATATAGATAAACCCCTGTGAGTAACGTTAGGAATGATGTTGGAGAGGGCTCTGAAATCCAAACGAACAAGGAGATTTAACACTAGTGTGTCTTCTAGCGTGTGTCTACGTTGACACACTCCAGCTGGGGCGTGTCAGCGTAGACACACACATGTTAAAAGCACACGAATTCGAGACAGCGGACATAAATGCCTTCTTCTCTGGATAAATATGGTAACTGCTGTTTCTTAAAGAACTGTGTTAGGAGCACTAAATGGAAAGTTGTTAACCTTTCCAATATTTATCAGGTTGTAAGGCCGTCTTCAGAGCCTTAACAAATCTGCAGAATCTCGC